CAAGGGGTAGGCGAGTTCGGTCCTAGAGAGCCGCAGTCCTGCAGAGTTCAGCTCCAACCCTGAAAAAAAAAACTCACCTGCCTATTATAGCCTTAGTAATCCTGAAGACATTAGGGCCTTTCGCACCGCGGGAACCACCCACTCTGTGGCGTTTTCGCACCTTGATTAGCTTGTTCAGGTGTGTCTGATCAGGGTTGGAGCTGAACTCTGCAGGACTGCGGCTCTCTAGGACCGAACTTGCCTACCCCTGCTCTAGACCATACGAATAACAAACTCTAAATTGAGAATGAATCATTGCTTTTTGACAAGTGTTTGATTTGTGAACATAGCCGTTCCAGGGAGGCTTTAAGACCAAGCGGAATCCTCTGCCGCTTCACAGCCAGCGGGACTCGCGCTAACGGAGTTGCGGTTTTTAACGACCGCGTTTCAACTTCAGCAAATCAGTTTGAGCGAATGCAAGCAACGTGATTCCAACATCCAGCCACGCAAGAAAACGTGCATTTTACCTGCGGGAAGAAGTGATCAATAAGGAAAGTCGTATTTCTCTAATGTATAGGCCTACACCTAGATAAAACAATTTACAGTTAAGTAACTTCCAGCGTATTCTTAACCTTGAATATCATCCTTAAAACACAAAATGACCAGTGAAGTGTCAAGCACTCAAAGAAGTCCATAATTATTCTATAAGTTCTCTTTAATTGAAAAATATGCATTTTCATATATACTGTAGTAGGCCTACTGTATACTACACACACGCATCAGAAGACAGAAAGAGCTTTATTGCCAAGTATGTTTGCACATACAAGGAATTTGTTTTAGTGTCACAAGCTTCCAGTACACAGACACAACAACACACAGATAATACAAATAAGATGTGAATAAAATACACATGTATGAATATAAATAAAGCGCGCACACACACACACACACACACACACAAAGGATAAATATGTACTGGTGTGCTATAGATAAAATACTGTAGAATGAATAGAGTAAAAAAAAGGTGGAGGGATGTACTAGGATGTAAAGGGATAAATAGTATATAAGGTTATTGCATATATTTGTATTGCACAATGGGAGAACATTCAACTGTTCATGAGGTAGATTACCTATAGCCTATATATACAGTATGCCGTTCAAAAGTTTGGGAATGGGATCAGTAAGATTTTTAATGTTTTTTAAAGAGGTTCTTATGCTCAACAAGCCTGCATTTATTTGATCAAATATACAGAAAAACTGTAATTTTGTGAAATAGCCTATTATTGTAATTTAACAAAACAGTTTTCCATTTTAATATACTTTAAAATATAATTTATATAATTCCTGTGAAGATTTTATTCCAGATTTTAGTGTCACATGATCCTTCACAAATCATTCGAATATGCTGATTTATAATCAATGTTGGAAACAGTTGTTTTGCTTAATATTGTTTGGGAGCTGTGATATTTTTTCAGGATTCTTTGATCAATAAAAAGTTCAGAACAGTATTTATTCAAAATAAATATTTTGTGTTAGCCTACACACCTATTCCAAAAGAAAAAGAAAAAAAGGTTTGGGGTCAGTAAATTTATTTTCTTCTTCTTTTTTTTAAAGAAACTCTTAGAATACTTTTATTCAGCAAGGATGTGTTAAATGGATAAAAAGTGATATTGTTAGAAAATATTTCTATTTTGAATAAATTCTGTTCTTTTTAACTTTTTATTTTGTTTATGGAACACAGGTTCCAAAAAAAATATTAAGCAGCACAACAGTTTCAACACTGATAATAAATCAGAATAAGAAAGCCTATTTCTCTCCAAAACGGTGCCAGTTTTAGCGTTTTGCAATAAAGAAATAAAAATAACTAAACTTGATAATTTATGTTACAATTTTAACATAAATGCACATTGTTCTAGAAAGATGGCAAATGGTTATGCTGATAATACAATTTGTAAGGAAAAATGCATTAAATAGCGAGTTATTTCTGGGGAACTTTTTCAAAGGAAAACACACACACGTCTCTTTGCTGAGCCGCGGCGGTCTCGGTGAATCAGCAGCATCCACAACTGAACGGAACAAAAAGTGTTGAACTTGAAAATTGTTTATGCGCGAGTGCACTTGCTAAATGAAGGCGGATTGTATAAAATGGATTTAAAAAAACATTTATAAACGAGCTGCAGTTTTATTACATCACGCGCTGGCACAGATGCAGTAGCCTATATTAACGCCACGGGTCATCAATAAGGTGCAGATTTGGTCCTCAATTTTGAACTTTTTCACAGCGCTCAAACTCATCAAAAGTCAACAAGTTCCACAAGCAACAACGACTTATTCAAGTGACCGCTGCAGAACGCACGCGAGAGAGAGACGAGTCAGCGCAGAACGCACGTCTCATAAGTGAGTGGGGAATTTACTGAACGTGGCACTTGCGTGCGTTAACACTGTACGCAATACCCGCAACCTCACACCAAATTTCAGGCCGTGTAGATAGGCAAGCATATATACAAATCATTTAATAAGCAGAAATATGCGACTGAATTGATGCTTGAAGAATGCACTTCCAGCAGCCATGATAAACAGTTGGCGGTTAAAGTTTTCTATGCACAATTTGATTTGACGAAATTCACGAGACCTATTACTCTCTATCCAATCACGTTGATGGATAAAAATAAAATTAAAATAAGCATAACGACCACAAACGGAGGAAAATAGCGGAGTAAAAGTACCGATACATCACTTAAAATGTACTCAAGAAAGTACACCATTTTTAAACTACTCAAAAAAGTACAATTGCTGATAAAAACTACTTAATTACTGTAACGTGAGTATTTGTAATTCGTTACTTCACACCCCTGGTAACATTTCTTTAACTGTTTTTCTGATTGTTAAAGGTAATGCATTTCCTATCATGAAAGGCCATTTTTCAAAGTGTGATGGTAATTATGAAATTGAAATAATAAAATAGTTCAATCTTATATATTTATTACCTTTAGAAGCATGATGTCATGATCTGGTCTCTTCATACTGAATTTTGGATGTGGAACGGGATCTACCTCTATACCGTCAGGTAAAAAGTTGGTGTCATAGACCCCCAAATAGACCATAAGATGACTAAAAATGGCAACAACAACAAAAAAGATTTGCAATAAAGTGGTGCGACTCCAATTGAATGTCTGAAAAAAGATTTGATATTCAGCAATATCAATATGACTGCACTGATACCATTTAATGAGAACAAAATTTGAACTGAATTAAGCTGAATAATGACTTGTTTTCTGTAGAACTGCTTATAGCTGTATTGAACTTGTTTCAAGATCGATGCAATTTACACTTATTAAACTGAACTGAACCAACACCAAACTGTTTACCCT